CTAATAACCAATGAACCATTTGATAAAGTACCCCACTTGAGGCTATCACAAAAGCTGAGCTCCTACGGCGTATCTGGCCTGCCCTTCACTGGGTATCTACGTGTACGTGTGGGTCGCAGCTTATCCTTAGCGATGTCCCACAGGACCCATTCCTTGAACCAGTGCTGTTCTTCATCTACGTAAACGAGCTCCTTAGGGAGCTTGGGGTATCATCCCTGTTGTTTGCTAATTACCTTAAGCTATGGATTGTTGTAAATGTCCCTGGGGGTTCTGAAGCCATTCAGCAAGCCCTGGACAGACTCTGGGACTGGTATACATTGGGGCTCCTACCCATCAATCAGGCTGTGTTCCGTCCTTCATATAAGAGCAACTTTCCCACCTTCGAGTTAGTGCTCGGGGGATCGAACTCCTCTTGTCTCCAACCATGTAGACTTAGGCGTCTTCCATTCTTCGTCTTTGCATTATGGTGACAACTGAAAGAAGGCCGCAAGTAGGGGTTTCAAAATGTTGTGAATAGTACACCGTTTTTTCGGGGTCTTAACTGCCGACATATTTGTGCAGCTGTTATCAGTTTTTGTTTGGCCCTAGCTGGAATACTGCTTTGTTCGCGACAAAATGTAGCTCTAGAGAGTTTTGAGAGTAGGTACCAAATTGGTCGAGGGATTACGGGGGCAATCGTACCCTGAGCGTCTACTAAGCTTAGGTATGTATTCAATGCACTACCGACGGTTTCGAGGAGACCTAATCCTTACCTACTGCATTTTAACAGGAAAGCTTGGACCGGACTTGAGCTGGCTATTTAGCCCGGCTAGGTTGCTTTGTTTTCGCGGTCATCCCATGAAGCTACACAAGCCGCGTTCTGACCGGATCAGGGCGGAAACTCGGGTATCGCGTATAGTTATCGAGCGCTGGAATTCGCTTCCAGAAAGTGTAGTCAGTGAACCTACGGTTAAGGGTTTCGAGCAACAGTTAGGCGCTCTTGGGTGACAACACGAAATCTTTCCCTTCTCCAAATTTGAGTTCATATTCTGTCATTCTCTTCACTCTTTGATGTTGTCCTTCATTTAAATGACGTTCCTTCCTCTTTATCTTCCATTTTCGTTCTACGTCTTTTTAGTTCATTGACCTACACAACGGGTGGTGCTAGTGCAGGAAACGTGGTCGGTAATTGGTTGACCAGGGGGTGGTTTAGGTGTTTCGTTTTAGACCCATCAAGACCGCCTAGCACCTTATCATTTCCTCGTCCGACGATCCGCTCAAAAAGGAACACTCAAGGGATTTTCCTATCGTTCCAGTCCCATCTGAATCTGGATCTGCATCCTTCTTTTGGGCATGCCGCCTTATCATCCATGATCAGGGGACACACCGTCGTAAATTCTGTGGTGTCCCATCCATATTACAAGTAGTGGCAAGCACCACAGACTGGACCGTTCTACAATCCCTAAACCTTGATGAGGCATGGAACTTACTACGCTCGAAGTAATAATAATATATGTCAGCTGTACGCCGTGATGGCTCTCCGTTGCCGTGCGACTACCACCAGTCGCTCACAGACTGAGGACAAAGCGAGGACGCCTACGCCTACGTGGATTCGAACTCGCGCCGCATGATTACGAGACAAGCTCTTTACCTCTAAGCTAGGTGCTGACTTTCGAAGATGCCGGTCATCAAAAAAGCTGTTCCTATCACCAATGGCAAGCCTTTCCCCTAAGGTCCCCTCTCTGAGTCGACGGAGAGATGAGATCCTTGATGAACAGATGACGTAAACTGCGGGACATATTCCTCAACACAGTTAACATCAGTTAACATCGAAGGACAAAGTGATCAGAAATCTGCGCACACTAATAAGGCGCCAAAAGCGACCAAACTACGAACACTCCTAGGCCTTCAATCGCGAATCTGCCCGAAGAAGCTGTTCTCTTACCTCAAGCGAAACACCAAGACTGGCAGTGATATCCCTACTATATCCTGCCAGGAGCACACAGTGCTCTACGAAGCTGACGAAAAGGCTAAACTAGTAGCCTCTCAGTACTCCTCGATCTACTCCGTGGAACCGCCATTACCCACTAACCATTTGATAACGCATTATCCTCCTCTCTAACAGGTCGAAGTCAATCCCGAGATAGTCAAGAGACTCCTCCTTGAACCGAACCCTAACTCCTCACCGGGCTCCGATGGACTTCACCCACTAATCCTCAAAATGGTAGCAGAATACATCGCTGATCCGAGGCCTCAATTTTTCCGGCGTTCTCTTGCAGACGGGCGCCTACCACCTGACTGGATCATCATCATCATCATACACGTTAGCTAGAGGTGGGGAACACCTCAGCTACTGTGCCGCAATACAAAGAAAAAAGGAGAGAAAAATAAAACAACTGGTGTAAGCTGGCTGAGCTACCGGTAACGGATGGGCATCGTTCCGGTAAGCTACCAGCCGGCTGCTGTGCACCCAAAAAATTATTATGCAAAATTATATAAGGCTACGTAATAAGATCGTGGTTGGAGGGGGAGGCTAAGAGGGATGGGGTGGGACAAAGAAACTCACAGCACGAACGCCACTGAGGTCGGCTCCTAGCCATATCAGCAAGTGTGTCCAACGAAACGTGTTCATCGTCTTTCGGACCCCAACCAGGGAGCCGAGACGCTCCAACCGAGGCCAGCTCAGAAGTGAGGGCCTTCATTCCTCTGGACCAAGTCATCGCTTGGCCACCCCTCCTCTTCTTCCATCCACACCCCCGGCGCGCAAATAACACACGTCGCGGAAGTCGGTGTGCTGGCATGCGTAACACGTGGCCTAGCCATCGGAGCCTGATGCGTGAAATAACGGTGCTGAGCGGTTCATTTTCTTTTCCTGTGCCGTAAACAAGGCGTCGAACACGCTCGTTGCTCACGCGGTGTTCCCACCAAATGTGAGCTAAATTACGAAGACACCGGTGATCGAACGTAACTAGCCTCTTCAGGTCCGCTGCTTTAAGCGGCCAGGTTTCACAACCGTACAGTAGGGTCGAACGTACTGCTGCATTGTGCA